ACAATATTACACAATAGTAAAAAAGACAATATTACAATAAGTACAGTAAGTAAAAAAGATAAAAATAAAAAACTCAATATTACAGTAATTTTTTAAAAGTGTAATTTGATGACTCTTGAGCTGACATTTAAGATAAAGAGTAGTGAAGTAGCAGCTGTAGTAGAAGTATAATGTGTGTGTAACAGTGTTGTTGTCCTCTCCCCACCCCCTCACTTCCCTCCTCTTCATCCTCCTCTTCATCCTCCAGCAGCAGCAGCGCCGTCAGGGAGCAGCGACGGAGGCCAACAAAGACCTGCTTGGAAATCAACTGGACACATTTTAAACCCATCGTTTGGTAAGAGTGGGATGTTTACAAGCATCGTGGGTTGCAGGACGTTGTCTGTGTGTTTTATAGGCAACACTATCGTGATATTTACACTCTGTAAACCTTTATTTGCGAGCTAACGGACCGATAAAGTCTCGTTGACTTCCGTTATGCTAAGCTAAGTCTGGTAGCCAGCCAGCTAACTAGCCGTACCGGTTTGAGACTGAAAGGAAAACGAGAGGATTGTCTGAGTAATAACAAAGCAATGGCACCATTAGATAAATGCATTATATCATAAATACCGCGCATGAATCCGGCAACACGTTTAAATATCACCACAAAGAGTTAAACATAGCGCACTAGCCGCACTAGCTCGGTTAGCTGCAGTAGCTAGCGGCGAGTCTTTTGTAAACAGAACCGAGCAGAACTCAAATCTGGGTCAGCCACACTGCAGAGAGCTATCGTTGTATGTTAGTGTCACCGGCTGTCAACGCGTTACGGTTTAAGTTGCATCAAGCTTTTAATGGATCTGGGACAAAAGGGTCCGGTTAGAAACACCGGAGCGGAAACGTATCACCGCGGCAGAGAGGTTCCCAGTCCGAGGTACAAAGTCAACACCACAGTGGTTTGTCTCAGACTGTTTATTCATCCCGAGTGTACACTGAGTGTTATCCTGGTTTCAGACGGGGTTTGTCGTTGTGTCAACACAGCTGAAGGTGACTGGCTGCTCGTCGGTTTCTCTCAGTCACCGGTAGAAGTGACTGGACGCCCCCTGCCTGTTTTTATCAGACAGGTAAAGCTCTTCTCATGTCGTAACCTTTCTCTGATGTTTCAGTGTCTGCTGTCTCTTGTCTGCAGCTATGGCAGCAATCAGGAAAAAGCTGGTCATAGTGGGAGATGGAGCCTGCGGGAAGACCTGTCTGCTCATCGTGTTCAGTAAGGACCAGTTTCCAGAAGTCTACGTGCCCACGGTGTTTGAGAACTACGTCGCTGACATTGAAGTGGATAGTAAACAGGTACGAATCGTTTCCAGCTCTTCTCACAGTTCAGAGCAGAATCAGGATTATGTAACTTGGCATCTGGTTACAACAACATGTGAGTGCTGGTTGTGTTCTCCTACCGCTCCCTCTCTCCAGTGAGGGCCAGGTCTCATGTGAGTTGATTAATATGGATGCAGTTTACTTTTCATGTTGTTGTGGATTGATGAATGATTCTTGAGTATTTAACAAAGCGTATATTAGTCTTACAGACGGCTCTTACTCGAGTTAGGTTCTTACTTTGGATTACCTGTTAAGTAATGTGGTTCTGCTCAGCTCGCTCTGCGCCTGAGATCATTTCTACTTGGTGCGTATTGTTTTTTATTCAGTGTCCATATTTGTGTCTTGAGTGTCAAACTTTAAAGGCACTATGTGGTAACCTTTAAAAACTGCCACGTGGAACAAAACAGTAGTGTGCAGCGTACACACACAAATATATATTACATATAAAACATATATGTTACACAATACCTGTGAATTAAAAATCAAACATTATTTCTAATTATGCAGGAAACTACAGACTGTCTATTACAGGCGTTCCCAACCTTTTCTGTCTTTTAGTAAAGTGACGATCCTGACTAAGTGACATATTTTAAGGATATTTAATACTTTATTCAAACCTGTACAATGAACCCAAATAGTGAACTCAGTAACTGCAAAAGGTTTGTGTAAAACAAGTGGTTTGGATTAATTTTGAGCAGACTATTTCCTCTTTAGGGAACTTTTAATACAGTTCCCTCTCTGTATTGTTTAACGATCATACAGACTTAATAGGCTTTTGACTTATTTTTTTTATTTTTTGACAAATTCAGTGTTTTCTCGTTCATGATGTTTGGCCATTGTTCAGTTAGACTATTTACAGTTTACTTTACATTTACTTTTAAACTACGGTTACTCTCCACAGAAGTGAACCAGACGCTGACACATAAGCCTACTGTGTATATTTCTTTAAGTTTTTTTAGCACAGCTTGAAATCAAGAAGGCCTTGTGACCCCTGGTGGGGTTGCAAACCCCAGGTTGGGAACCACTGGTCTATTATTTTGGGAGTAGGGATGAGAAAACAAGATCAACATAGATTTTTTTAATCAAAATATACATTCTCTGAGATCATCAGTATCTCCGTCTTTATTTAAAAAAGGTTCAGAGACTGTTTACTGTCTAAGAGCAGCATCGAGATAACATGGGATACTGGCTGAAGTAATTGTTTCATATAACAATGGTTAATCAGAGTCATAGCAAATGTAAATGTGGTTTTTATGTGCACCAAATAAGTATTAGTGTAATAAATGAGTATATTTTATTTGTTTTCATGAACTTATTGGGTCATTACAATGACCTGAAGCACCCTGAACACGGTTTGGTTCATGTGGTTGATAACATGTGAACTCTTATGGCAGGTCGAGTTAGCACTCTGGGATACAGCAGGTCAGGAAGACTACGACCGACTGCGCCCGCTCTCCTATCCAGACACTGATGTTATTCTCATGTGCTTCTCCATCGACAGCCCCGACAGTCTTGGTAAGTTGAAACGGAGAGCTGACAGTGTATGCTGAGCCAAGATCGGGGGGTCTCCAACTCAAACTGCCTTGGGGCCACAACATTCAAGTACTACAAGAAAGTGGGACACAACCTGCTCTCTTCTTATCAGCTGTTGCTATTAGACAGCGCCTTTCACCGTTATTTGGAGTAGGAGGGTTGGAAAGAGAGGAAACAATTCATATGTAGTTCCAACTAACTGGAAACAATTGAATTGAATTGAACAATTGAAAAAATATTAATGTCCTGTTAAGAACCAGACACAAACAAAATAGTTAAACAGGCACATTTGTTGGACAGGGGAAAGCATATGAGCACACCAGTCCTCTGCTGATTGTATCACACAGTGTGTCTAATGTACGTCACAGCTGCACACACTCATCAAAGCATTGATCATATTATGACATTTGTGAGGAACCTGTGCAACACCGAGACATTTCTTCTGAATTCGTCATTTTCCGTATTGTTTGAATCCTCTCACCTACACGTACTCTTCTGCTGTGTCTCTGCTCTGACCGATGGTGTCCTTCTGTCCACTCATCTAGAGAACATCCCAGAGAAGTGGACTCCCGAGGTGAAACACTTCTGCCCCAACGTTCCCATTATCCTGGTGGGAAATAAGAAGGACCTGCGTAACGATGAGCACACCCGGAGGGAGCTTGCCAAAATGAAACAGGTAAAAATGTCAAAACAAACACGTAAACGCTCTCCCGGGAGGTGAACGCCTGTTCCCTAAAACTCCTCCTCTCAACGTTTTCTTTAGGAACCTGTGAAACCAGAGGATGGACGGGACATGGCAAACAGGATCAGTGCCTTTGGATACATGGAGTGCTCTGCAAAAACAAAGGATGGTGTGAGGGAAGTGTTCGAGATGGCCACCAGGGCTGCACTACAGGCCAGGCGGGGAAAGAAGAGCAATAAATGTGTCCTACTGTAAGCGGGGGCATGAGGACTGCTTCCTACAGGGGGGAAAGAAGAAGGAGCATTAGGTCAAACCTACCCCCAAACACACCCACACAAAAGACTGTTCTCCCCAGTTTTTACTAAAGGTGTAATGCTTTTACTTTTTTTGTCTTAAGCGAAAGTAGTCAGGTTCTGTCAGTATTCAATTTTGAGGTTATGGAAACTACTTTTTTGTACTTTAACATGAGTAAATTTGCCATAATGAAACCTCCTTTATCGACATGTACTATGTAATCAAAGAGGTCAGCCAGGGGGACCCGTTGAGTCATACCTGCCAACTACAGTTAAGTGCTTAAGCCCTGCCTGCTGATCTGAGGAATGTTTCCACAGCCAACTAGGGTGAAGTACCTGTACACTGTGACCCATAGTCCTTTAATTATTTCAACAAACAGATGCACACATGAAGTCGAAATTTGTTTGTGTGCTTCATATACAAATCCTACGTGCATTATGATCATATGCACAATATGAGACTGGAAACTCATTTTGTTAAAACGCAAATGGAAACTTAGTGTTTTGTGTAATAAATTACTTTGTAAGAATCTTGATCATTTGTATCACTTGATAAACTGAAAGACACTGAATGGGTCAAAAGTCCCACTTGGATGCAGAATAAAGATTTGGAGCAGTGTTCGGGCAACAACATCTCCAAGGATGAAACTTTTTCAGCTTTTGACGTTGGTCTTAGTCACTACACGTGTCCTGTGTTAGCCAGTGCACAGATATGTTGGGCATTATGGATCAATACAAGCCGCTCTTTGGTTATTATCTAGCTGATGTCGCTGTGTGAAAGTTACCTTTAACTTTCTTAAATTGGTTAATTTAAATAATGTAGACAAAGATAAATATTGAGCTAAAACACTAATAGTTGGAAAACAAACTTGTCAGTGCTCTCTGGTGGACAAACTGTAAAAGTGACACTTATCACATTAACAGATTGTTTTGATATTTCTGGACCTCAACTCTTAGTTATTCATTGGCCGGTGCGTACGCCACTGATATCTCTGTGGGTTTGGGTTAGGGTTCACTCCTGGTCATCTTGACTTGCACCCCGATTGTAAACATGAGTCAGATTTCATTAAGGTCTGAAAAAACAAAAAGTGCTTTATTTAACACACATTTCATACAAACAGTTCAATAACACTGCAGATCCACAGTTCTTCGGTATTTTACCAAGACTGGTCTTTCTGCCCAGACGAGGTTCTTTGACATTCTTCATATTTAAAATAAAAGGAAAACAAATGTTTTTATCTTATAAACAAATCCCTGATGACATGCCAATAAGGAGGAAGGATATATATATATATGTTTTACATTAGGAACATAGACCTCGCTTAAACTAATGCAGTCTAATAAACACCCCTACAATAAATCTCACCCATATGAAGGTTACAATGTTCATATTAATAAAATATTAATACACTTCAACAGCAACCAGCCTCCTAAAGTTGACACCTCTAAACATTAAGAACAGTACTTTATAACCTTCATGAAGGGAGGGTTTGTTAAAGAACTGTTGTATTAGACGGCTGTTGGGAGTGACTAATAAACTGGGAACAGTTCAACCTTTGTGGAGAGAAAGTCTTTGGCAAGTTATATTTACAGTCAAAATGAAACAAGCAATCTCATGTTGCAACAAAATATCAAGATGGAAATGACGTTCTCCATACGTCATACAACAAAATACCAAGTGAGAACACATTTACAGGTGGATGAACATCTCATAACATTTGAGCTTCCACACGTGTCTGATAGGAACATCAGCAGGGGTTGATGGGTGATGCCCACTATGAATTATTAATTTTAAAATATAAGTCCACTGAAACATTTAGACAGACTTATTATTATTATTATTATACCAATTATAACCCATTTATGACCACACACTGTCGGTTTTGCCCAATAAAGCGAGTCCTCTGCGGTCTGTAACCCTGCTCTGAATAAACCAGCTGCAAACAACACTGTCTCACACCTCCAGTGGACGGTTAACGCCAGGAAGTTGTTGTGATAATCATCACTTCACTAGTCACTCGTTCTTCTTGGCTGCAAGTCCTGAGCGGGCGAGAAACACTGGAAGCAGAGCTAGTGCTCCCAGAGCTGCGGCCACCAACGGTCGGTAAAAAAACCAACCAACTCCGATGGTGAGGAGAGACAGAGAGCAGGAGACGCACAAGGCGAAGATCTTCAGCCCCACGGACACAAGCTCTCTGAGAACAGGAACCCAATCCACTGTAGGCACAGAGAGGAATATAAATGAGACGCAGGGACAGAAATCCATGTATAATGTAGATGTACAGCAGCTGTGAGTGTTTGTTTACCCAACGTGTAGATGATGCGCATGGTCAGCTGAATACTGAGGAACATGAGGGCCCAGCCTGCAGCCCTCAGTCCCCATGTCTTCATACTGTTGTACTCGTGTTCTTTCGCAAAAACCTCCTACAGGAAACAATACAACTGCATCAACAACCAGAACCTATTGACATTACAACAACCACAGTGTCCAACAAAGGAATTACAATGCACACTGACCTCCGCAGAGAGCTCCTCCAGATACAGGAGCTCCAGAGTGTCTCCTGACTTGGTTTTAAAAGGCATCAGCTGCTCCCCTCTCTGCATGGCCACAATACTGACCTGAAAAACATAATAAGAGGAAGACAATAAGTTTTAACCGTATGTGCACTGTAGAAAAGTAACAGTTTCAATTACAGCTGACACAAATGTAGGTGGTGTCAGTCTTATTATCTGATGTGATGGTGAACTGAACATCTTTTGGACAGTCGGTTGTACAAAACAAGCGATTTGAAGAGATCTCATTAGGTTGAAAGATGAGAAACTGATATTTCTTAATTTTATTACATCTTACCCAACACTACAAACTAATTGTACATCGTATATACTATAGACATTAATCTTAGTAACAGAAACAGATGTAATACTGTTTTAAAGACAACAATTAATTGTGAAATAACTGTTAGTTACAGCTGTAGTTTCAATACTCCCAAAAAATAGTACTATTGTATGTGACCATCACAAGTTCCCTAAAGAGACATAATACATTGTTTTGTACAAATAACCATCCAAATACCACACACATTAAATTTACACACACACACACACACACTGTATATGTACTGTATATATATATCTATTTATAGAAAACAGCAAATATCCTGCTAAAAATCCTCTACTTTGATAAGTCAGAACCAGTGAATGTTTAATAAATGACTTAACTGATTGTGAAACTGAAATTGATGTCGTTTAATTTTTCTGTTGATCAACTAGTCCACCAGACATAATCATTTTAAATAAAAACTATTCAGTTCATTTCAGTTCTGACTTTGATGTATCAAGAAATAAGATATTTCATTACTGAGTGCGATTAATAAAAAAAAAGGTCACAGTGGAAAAGCGTCCAGAGAATGCTTTAAGTCAATGATCCACTGATGTGTCCTCATTAGTAAGATTAATGTTTTAATTGTTCATCTGCAGCACTCACAGTCTGAGCCTGGCCGAGGTGAGACGTCTCACCGCTCAGTCCAGCGAAGGAGAATCTCACACGCACATCTCCGACCTTAAGAAAAATAAAATACGAATAAGACTCAATAACTGCACCACTGTGGAGTACGTAACCCATCAGAGACCAGAAGTTCATATATCTGAGAGGAGTTCACATCATCACGCTCACCTCCGGCCTGCGTGGGTACTGAGTGTGATAGAAATAATCGTCATCAATACTGAGAAACGGATCCAAGTTAAAGGCAGAAAAATCCCTCAAACTCAGCGTCTGGAAGTTATTGATCTGCTCCACCAGGCCTGAGGAAGACCAAACCAAACAGTGTGACCAACAATACAGCGTGTGTTTGTTCTGTATGCACCGTGTTTATGTCGGCTACCTTTAGACAGAAAGAAAGGTCCAACTCTGACCTCCGGAGCCACCACAGTGACACTCTCAACCGCCATGGCACTAAGATTCAAAGATGAACACAAACATGTTATTTCTTATTTCACAGAACAAAGCTGAATAATCTTATAAACATTTGAGTACCTTGGGTTCTGGTGACCGATTTCTTTATCAAAATTACGACTGTTGATTAACTCTGATTTCCACTCGGTGTCTAAAAAAATAAAAAAGGGGAAAAGGAATCGCATCAAAACAATTCATACAGCTTCAACCAGAGTCAAACATGTTGTTACCGAATACTAAAAATAACTCACTGTAGGTGTACGTCGTCTCAGTTTTGGTCTCACCATTCTCTTGGTAGTCCCTGAAAGAAGTCGCACAGTAACTCACTTCAGGCTAATAATACTCCGTGTTCCAGCCAACATTTTTACAGCTGACCCCGCCCTGACTGTTGACAGATGCAGACAACAGACTCACTTGCTCTCATGGTACTCCACCCACTGATACATCTCCACCTGCCTCTTCAGCTTCACTGCCTGCACCACCACCCTGTAGTTGGGGTCATACAGGGGCTACGCAGACACAGTGGCAGATGATTCATTACCTAACATTTACTGGTAGCATGTCACTTAATGAAACAGCAACAGAATGAAATCAACAACACGGTGAAAAACAAACTCTCTTACCCCCTAACGTAGACTGAGCTTGTTACAAAAAATACACACTCTTGAATATACATCAGTTCTTGTTCCTGTCTGCAGTTTTGATTTCTTGTATAAAGATTTCTTGAATGCACATAAAGAGGGAATTTGTTGTTTTTGACTAAAATATCTTAGAATGAAAAGCTAGATTTATTTTATTTCACTATAAATAAAATCTGACTTGACCAGCACAAGTGCAAAATGTCAAGTCTGATCCCAGTTGTTCACTTTATTTACAATGAATGGTGAAATCATCACTAATGTGTAATAGGAGAGAGAAATGTGACTCAACAGAGGGTCCACACTGCAGACAACGATGGAGTCCACCCTACCTGTGAGGTGCGCAGCTGTGCAGACAGATGAACTAGACGGTTGTCGTTCTGCAGGTCGAAGCTTGAGAGAGGCCCCAACGACACAACCTGAGAAAGACCCTCATCCAGGGACGACGCCGTTTGCAGAGCCCGTCCCTGAGAGCACACTCTGCGTTAGTGTGCATTGTGGCGTTGATGTGATATTCATGTCCACAACCGTTGTCGTCCTCTGTGTGAGTGTTTCTTACCTCATTGGTGAAGAGCACATAAATCGAGAGGAAGAACAGACCGACGCCAACAACAGTTCCTCCTGCAGTTTCACCTAACCGCTCCAGGAATCCAGGGTTGGACTGAACGGACACACGCTTGTGTTGGTTTGGGTCTTTACCTGAAAACTGAGACACAAATGCAAAAACAACTCAGGCTGAGTGCGAACAAAAACACCAGCTCAACACCCAGAAGAACAATGGACGACTTTACTGACTTTGAGTGGAACATTTCATTACCCTTTTCTAAATGTTGGATTTATATCCTCCACTAAAGGAAGAAGTGACACAACAGCAAAGTGCATCATGATAACTTTAAATAATAATTTCATTAGTGAGGCTGCAAAGCAAACTACTATTATCCCTCCTACTTAATAAACTTATCCTCTCGCAGTTTTGGTCGCACATACACAAAAAGGT